CTTAAAAAAAAAAAAAAAAAAAAAAAAAAGAGAAATCCTGGGTGCGTTTGAAATTGTTTTTAAAATGATTTTATTTTTAATAAAAAGTAAAAATGAGATTGTTTTTGATAATCATTCTAAAAATGATTTTGAAATTACGTTTTGTTAGTTTTTTAAAAAATTATTTCGAGTATAATAAAAGAGTGAAATCGTGTTTGATTATAATTATTAATTAATATATTATAATATTATTGATAAGTATTAGAAAATAAAAATAGAAAAGTAAAAACAACTTTCAACTGTTTTCTAAATTCCTTCACAAAAATCCTTCTCACTGTTTTCGTTTTCAAAACATTTCCTAAAGAAACTCCACTTCATTTTCCATTTCATTTTTTCCTCGTAGAAAAACGTCAAAAACGTTTTGAAAACAAAACCAAACACACCCTATAGTGCGTGTTTGGAACCGTTGTTAAAAATGATTTTCATGTATTTCGAGAAGTAAAAAATGAAAATGAAAAAGAAACGACGCTTTTTTAGCAAATGTTTTGCAAACGAAAATAATGAGAATGATTTTGATGAAGGAATTAAAAAACGGTTGAAAGTTATTTTCACTTTTCTGTTTTTATTTTTTAGTACTTATCAATAATATTATAATATATTAATTAATAAACATGATTTCACTTTTTTATTATACTCAAAACAATCTCTTAAAAAACTAACCAAACATAATTTCAGAATCGGTCCCAGAATGATTTTTAAAACAATCTCATTTTTACTTTTTATTGAAAACAAAATCATTTTAAAACCAATTCCAAACGCACCTATAGTTTCTAAACTCAGCCGTTTCTACTCTCAATTTTGGTAAGCAGTAGAAAAAAAAAAGCACTATTTTCTGAACGAGCAATTTTAAGGCTCCTTTGGAAGATATATTTAAATTATAATTTTTTATTTTAACATTTGAAATTTAAGTATTTTATAAGAGAAAAATACTGTAGTAAAATTAGTGATTTGAGTTTGAGTATATGAAACAAAGGGATCCTTATTAATTTTGACTGAAAGTTAAATTTCTTATGTAATGTTAGGGCATGTTTGATTCACCGTATTGTAGTGTATTATATCGTATCATATCGTATTATATTGTATTGTGCTCCTTTGGAAGATATATTTAAATTATAATTTTTTATTTTAACATTTGAAATTTAAGTATTTTATGAGAGAAAAATACTATAGTAAAATTAGTGATTTGAGTTTGAGTATATGAAACAAAGGGATCCTTATTGATTTTGACTGAAAGTTAAATTTCTTATGTAATGTTAGGGCATGTTTGATTCACCGTATTGTAGTGTATTATATCGTATCATATCGTATTATATTGTATTGTATTGTATAGTATTTGTTTGCATTATATAATTTTTATACAATACGGTGTTTGGTTAGTGGTATTATTAAACATTATACTATTTTTATCATTATAATTTATTTACGTATTAGTTTGTAATAAGATAAAATTTAGGCATAATCATAACTTAATTCGACTATAATCTTGACCCGAACCCAACATTTGGAGGAAGTAAGGGAAAAAATAGAGTTGCTACATAGGGGTCTTTTTATAAAAAAAATTAAAAATGGGATCAAATTGTAAATTTCAAAAAATAAGGGAGAAAATATAATTTTTTAAAAGTTAAGGGGTCAAAACATATTTTTTTTAAATTAGGGGTTTTTAAAAAGTTTAAGGGTCAAAATGTAATTTTAAAAAAACATAAACCTAACATCACTCTGGTCCCGAAACTTGACCCTAACGTCGGTATCAAAACCCAACTCCGAGCCTTGATATATTTGAAATATTTTATATGTTTTTAATATGATATTTTAAGTTAAATTGTATAATACGGTCTAGTACATATGTTTTTTTTTTTGTATTAGATATCACACTTCGTATTGTACAATTTTGTGTATTAATTTTAAATCTCGTATTAAATTATACAATATATAAATATCACTAAATATTATATTATTATTAAACATCACAATACGAAAATATTTAAATGATGTATCAAATATGCCCTTAGGAACCAATATTAGAAAAATTTGTGCATAATTTTATTTTATTTTTAATTTTTTAGTATCGAGCCTGTGGTTCGCATCGTACTCTACACGAAATACACATGTACTCAACCGCTTGTATGTTATAAGGTTAACGACCACTCGAGAGTTTAGGTTAAATGCTCAATCTTTATTAATCTTTTGGAGTCAAATAGTTTTTATCTCTTTCTGATTATAATTAGCAAAGAGAGTTGAAACTCTATAAAAACAAATGAAGTTTTTCCTGCTTTAGAAAACATTTATCCCTTTGATGTTTCATTTTTGTAGGTCCGTAGAAGGATGGTTCTCTCTTAATTTTAATAATAATTAATGGTTAGGAATTCCTAGACGGTGCGGACAAAAAGTGTTTTTCTCTCCTTTTCCTATTAAACATGTTTCCGTGCGTTTCTTGTATCTTCAGGAAGTTTCGTCCACTATTTTTTTTTTATTATTAATTCTATAAATGCTAATTAATAAGTGTTTGGTTCATTATAAAGAACTGAAGGGGAAAAAGAAAGGTGGGTGATGCTTCATACGTTATGAACACATTAAAAAGCAACTTAATACATGAATTGAAGTCACGGAATTCTCTATTTTTTTATTCAGCTCTTTGTATATGCATTTCTATTAAATACATTTGCGCGCACAGCAAAAAAACTTGGAATACTTATATGATCAACTACTAGTTGTCTTTCTAATTTATCATTTTCTTGTTGAAAAATTGGTAAGCTCGCGTTAATTTATGCATGTTTACGTGTTGATTGGCACCTGGCAGGTGTTTATAGATCTTTGAAACATAGACACAACCAAAGATGCATGAATTCAATTATGAAACAAAAATTGAAAGAAAAAAGCAAATGAAAAGATTGTGTTCATACGCTCAAATAAAGAAGATCAAGGAGGCTTTCTCTCATAATATAGAGATCAATTCTCATTGTTTGTTGTGATACTGTAAGTATAACTTTTATTAGTTTGACAAATTTAAATAAATGCATTTTTAAGTTCTTATGTACTAGTTGATAAAAGTATAAGTTAGGTTCTTTTTCAATTCATCTATGATTTATGTAAATTGTCAAGTGACCACTCAGTTAGTGTTGTCAAATGGGCCGGGCTGTCCATGGACAGTCCGACCCAGCCTGTAATAGTGCTGGATTCGGTACGGCCCGGTACGGTACTGTTACGGGCTTTGCCGGCCCGGTACGTTTGATGGGCTAGGACTGGGCCGCGGCCCGGCCTAAGCCCAGTTCGGCCCAAGTCCGGATTTAGTCCTTGTTCGGCCCAACCTAGGCCCGCGAAACGGCCCGCCAAGAAGGCCTCTAGCCCGTGAGGAATGTGACCGTTGGGCCCTTCGCGGGTCCAACGGCCACAATCCGAAAAAATCTCCTATAAATACCCCTTTATCCCACTCTAAATCCCATATAACAATTCACTCTCAACTTCTCATGTCACTCTCATATTGTCTATTTGATTTTGATTCTAAGCTTTTCTCTCGCGATCACTCATTTTCTTGCTCTTTCATTTACAAAGTTTAAGTTCAATCAATTTCCAGAAAATGGCCGCATCAAACTTTCTTGATTTCACTGCTCTCCCTGAGCTTGGTGATGGGACATTTTTCGAGGATGAAATGATGGCTTAGAACCCCACTCCCACTGAACCAAAAAATGCTCCGGTTGATAATGCTTCAGTGGACAATGAGGGAGCTGGAGAATGCAACAGGGAAAAAAGACCGCGAACTTCTCCTACATGACAGCATTTCACAGAGTAGCCCCGACCAAATCCAAAAACAGGTGAAATGAAAATTCGTGCGGTATGTAAGCTGGAGAATGCAACAGGGAAAAAAGACCGCGAACTTCTCCTACATGACAGCATTTCACAGAGGAGCCCCGACCAAATCCAAAAACAGGTGAAATGAAAATTCGTGCGGTATGTAAGTATTGTAAAAAACACTTTTCTAATAAAAATGGTAGGGGTACTGGTCATCTGGACAGACATTAGAAAGCATGTCTACCGTTGCATCAAGGTGGGAGTGTGGACTCTCGCCAACAAACACTATCACTCACATCACAAGGGTTGTAAAATTTTACATACGATGCACAACGTGCTCGTGAGGCACTAGCTAAATTTCTAGCTAGTGCCGAATTACCTATTTCTTTTGCAGATGATGCGGCGTTCGAAGAATTCATACAAACGCCCTTCTGCCCGCAATTTAAACGGGTAAGTAGAAACACAACTTGTTTTGATTGCATGAAGTGGTTTATGCAATGAGACAATATCTAGTTGACAATTTTAGGCCTTTTAATACTACTGTATCTTGTACTGTTGATCTATGGGAGGGGTGCAATAAAACTGGATATTTATGCGTCACGGCGTATTATGTTGATAATGAATAGGTTTTACAAAAGAGAATAATTGGTTTTCGTTTATGTCCATATCCTCATAACGCAAATACTATTTTGGAACAATAATGGAATTTTTTGGGTTTTATGGGATAGAAGATAAAGTTTTAACTATTACTTTCGATAATGCGTCAGCTAACATGGCTGCAATTAACATGTTTACACGTAGTTTGAAACTAGTGTCAACGGTAGCATCAAAGAAGCATTTAGTGCAAGCAACTGAATTCTTGACGAGAAGATGAGCAGAATGCATCCAAATATCTTGGAGGGGCTAATGTACGTTAAAGACTAGGAAGATGTCAGAAGACGAAAACAACAATATACGGATGATTCAATGCAATACTATTTTGCTAACTTAAAAATAACAAAATCTTCTGGAAGCACTTAGGTTTTGTAATTTACTTATCCTAGAATACTACACTCTTTTTTCCTTCGCTAAGGTTTTGTCTCGATCTCTCCATGGGTTTTACTCGGTAAGGTTTTTAACGAGGCAGTTATTTATGTGTACTTATTCGTATTATCTCAAATAAAATCACATCTTTTAGGGGGGTATATGATATATTTTCTTTTTTTTAAATTAAATTTTGTAAAAAAATTACAAGAGCCAAGGCTAGCCCGTGAAGGGCCTTGGCCCAGGCCCGACCCTGGCCCTTATGGACTAGGGATGCTGGCCTGGGCCGGGCCTGAGTGTTTCTTCTCAGGCCCGGCCCTGCACTGTGCAGGGTCGTGCTAGTCACGGCTCAGGCCCGTCACATGCCTGGGGTCAAACGTGCCGTGCCGGTTCGACACTCTATACTCAGTCAGAGACGTGACGATACAATGATTCTTTTTTTTTTCTGAAAAAAATAAATAAAAGAGATTATACTTAGTGCTGAAACTTTGGACAGGCCGCCCACGACCGCCCGAAAATACTGAGTTTTTACCCGAGCCCGAGCTCGACTCGCCCGAAAAATTCGGGCCGCCCGCCCGAGCCCGAAAATACCCTTGAACGGGCCGCGGGCTTATATTTGGCAGCCCGAACCCGGCCGGGCTGCCCGAGCTCGCCCGAATAGCCTGAATTTTTTTTAATATTTTTTAATATTTATAATTATTAAGTTAGTTTGTGTTGAAATTATATAAAAATCAAAATCAACATTCAACATACATTATTAACACAATTGAATAAATTAATCATGTATATTAATGATGTATATTAAATTCATAATTCATGATTGCCTCGTTAAAACCTTACCAAGAAAAACCCAATTAGGATAAAAACTTGGCAAGAAAAAAAAAGTGCAATCATTTTGTGACGAATTATAAATTTTACAAACTTACAAAGTTATACAATTACAAATACAATGTCAAAAGTAAATACATATTTACAAATTATAAATTTATAATTTAATTTGAAGCTAAAGGATCGTCTTCAAAATTAAATGTTAATCGATTAAATTCATCGATCCATTATTGGCTTGCCGGCGAAATTGTATCCTATAGACGTTGATCGGCCCGAGCCCAATCCTTAATGTAAACCAAGGCTTTAACAATATCCCTTTGCAATGTATTCCGGCGTTCCTCAAGTATTTTTCTCGTCGTACTGAAGGCTTGTTCGGATGAAATAATGGAGACTGGGATCGAAAATATATCCATTACCAATCGAGTTAGGATTGGCCAAGTTAATGCCTGTGCCCTCTACCATTGAACTAAGTCAAACAATTCTGCTATACCATCGACTACTAAGCCTTCACTGAGGTACGCCATAAGCTCGTTGAAGCTACCGCCGCCGCTACCACTGCCACTTGTTGACGAAGATTCACTCCCAGCTTCTGTTTGAGTTGTCTTCTTCTTCTTCTTCAACCCGAAAACATTCAAGAATGAATGTGAATTTTTGTCTTGTTGTTGGGGTTCATGTACTCTAGGAGGTACTCTAAACCTAATCTCATATTTACTATAGATCGAAAATATTTTTTCCTTTATTATTGGATATTGGTCCGAACAATTGATGCCTAAAAATTCACCTAAGTTATCTAAACCACTTTCTAAACCTTCTAATTTTAATATAGGATAAAAAATAATACCTAAACCATACAACAATGGCAACTTAGACCAATATTTTATAAATTTATTTTCCAATGAATGGATAGGAACTGCTAAGATTGGGTCCTCCCTATATTCGCTAAATAAAATACTAATTCGTAAAAGTTATCCTAAAGCTAAAGGTGATGTTGGATAATATGTTCCGCTAAGTTTTAGAGTCACTTCATGAAACCTACCTAAAAATTGATACAAAACTTCGGTAATTTGCCAATCATATGCGTCTATATGATTTACTCATACTTTTGCACACATATAGTTTGTTATAGCATCTTTATAAGGGATGCATTGTTGAAGCATTATGTAAGTTGAGTTCTATCTTATAGGCATATCTAATGCTAATGCTCTAGGAGGTATATTTAATGCTTGTAAGAACCTAAACCAATCTTCTTGTCTTTGGTTACTACCTTGAATCCATGCAAGACTATATCTAATTCTTTTAATGTGATTACCCATTTCTTTTAAATCAGATTTAACAATTAAATTAATTACGTGACATGTACAATGTTGGTGGAAAATTATATCGTCACCGAATAAACTTAAATCATTTTCAAAGAACTCAATTACTTTTGTATTGGCACTAGTATTATCTAATGTTATAGCCATTACTTTATCTCTTAATCTAAATGCATCAATTACATTTAAAATGATATTATATATTAAATCCGCACTATGTGATCCTAGAACACATTTAAAATCTAATATTCTCTTATCTAAATCAAATCATTTAAAGTAATGTCCAGTTACAGCTAAATAATCTTTATTGGTAACGGCATACAAAATATCTGCTGTTAACGCAACGCACCTGCTAGTCGAGTGTAAAATGTTTATTAATGCTTCTTTTTCTTTTTTAAATAATTTTAATAAATCTTTCCTTAGAGTAGTTTTTAAAGTGAACTGTGCATTAGAATTATGTACAACCTTAATATATCTTTGCCAATTAGGATGCTCTATAAAACTAAGTGTTTGATCTAAAGCAGCTATCATTCGTGCAACTTCCACACGATCTACTTACGGATCGTATTTCCAAGTGGTTAAACCACCGGTTGCGCGATAAAAAAATAATTGTGTTTGACAGAGTTCGGATCCGCCGGATTGGCTAAGCTTTTGAAGACACTTTTCGGAATGTCTTTTCAAGTGTATGGTGCTGTGAATAGTGTCACCTTGTAATTTAGATAAACAATATTTATATTGAGCTATATGTTTAGTGTTACCTTCATTGTCGATCTCCTCAATTATGTCGAAGTGATCCCAAACTGTCGAGGTACGCTTGCATTTCCTCCTAGAGGTTGCAACACTTGCAGACGCAGTCGCACTGGCACTCACCATCGCCGCTTCTCCACGCCCACCACCATTGCGACCACGACCTCCGGTACATCCAGCAGGGCTCGAATTAGTAGAGTCTTGCGTAACAAATTCATTAATGGGAAATTACCCTTCTTCCACGTTGTGTTGGGCATCAACGGGAATACCACTATAACCAAAATGATCCATTATAAAAAAAATAAGAGTGCTTTGAGAGAGAGAGCTTTAGGATAGTGTGATAATTTTTAGAAAAATTGTGATAGAGATTTGAGAGATTGAGAGAGATTGAGAGAAATTGAGAGAGATTGAGAGAAATTGAGAGGGATTGAGAGAGTTTGAGTGAGAAAAATGTGTGGGGGATGTGGGGTATTTATAGGGAAATTTTTGGGTTAAAAAATTAATTTTTTTTCAAAAAATTCGAGGTGCAACGGCTACTTTAGGAATCGGCGGGTCAGGTTCGGGCAAAAAACTAGTCGTTGGATGGGTTTTCGGGCATGTCGGGCATTCGGGCCGGGCAGCAAAAGTCAAAATTTTGATCGTTTTTCGTGATTTTCAGGCAGTTGGGCGGGTCAGGCAAATCGGACTTGGCCGGAAAAATTCAAAAAAAACTCCAGCGGACGACAATTAACGGCGCCTACACAGCGGCGGACTCCGACGAGGTGCCCAAATTCAAGCTGCCCAAGCCCAAAATACCACTTTAGATGGGCCGGCATATGGGCCTGCCTGCCGAACCCGAAAAATTTAGCCAGCGGGCCTACCCGCCGGCCCAAAATTCTACCACTAATTATACTATTAATAAAAATAAAGAGGGAAAATCTTAAATGAATATAGTAATGGAATCACGGGTGAGGTGCGGAGGGCTGACGAAAAAGGGACCCACTTATCATTCTAGTTTTTTTTTTTTTGTTTTTGTTTTTTTTAGGAATATCATTCTAGTTTCTTTGACAAGGCAAGTTTTCAACTTTGACGTGTTTCATAACCAACTAAAAAAAAAATAAAAAAATCAACTTTGACATGGCAAAGCCAAAACCCACGTGTTCCCATAGCAAACCAATAAAAAAGGGACAGTTACAAAGAACGACGACGTTCCCTCCATTCAAAGGTCGATATTACCCCGGCCTTGAACAACACAAGGTCTCCGATAATGGAGGCTAATTCAGACTTTTCGGCACACCAAATGGCAACCACGAAGATATTTTTAAAAAAGTCGACCGCTTTAAAGGAAGTGCCCCAAGCCGAAGTTTCCAAATAGCAAAAAGGAAAAAAAAAAAAACATTTCAAATATTTTCGGAGCGTGAGTTGTGACCAAATCTGAAATCGTAATTTTAAATCTGAAATCGTAAATACGATCACAGCCCAAAAATAAGAAGAAAAACATAATTAATAAAAAATAAAATAAATAAAAGAACAAAATAGCGGCGATTGTTGCAATTGAAAAAAACAGAAGTTTGTTGTGTTTCAGACGGACGGGCTTCCAATCTCTCCCGAAGCTCTGGGAACCGTCGTGAAAAGATAGAGAGAGAAAGCGAGAGGAGAGAGAAAGCGAGAGAGAGAGAGAGAGAGAGAGAGAGAGAGAGAGAGCCTTCTGAAAATGAAGCTGTGTCTGGCCTCTGCTGCTTTTCGCGCCTAGGGTTTTCCTCTTTATTCACGCCTCCACAAGGTCATTTTCCCTTTTCTCTCTCCTTCTAGAATTTTTCATTTTGATCTTTTTTTTTCCTTCTCGTTTTGTTAAATTTTGTTTGGTTGATGAGAAAGAGGGAGACACGTAAGGTCGAGAAAGTTTGGGAGTTTGGTGCGGATTTCTTGTGATTTGAGTTTGAAAGTTTGAATAGGTTGCGTGGGCGATTCTGTCATGTTCTATTAACGTTTTCTTCAATTCGAACATAACGTTAGCGCTCTTGGATTTGGATTCGGATTTGTTTGATTGTTTTGCTTTTTGTTGACGGCGGATGAATTTGAATATGTTAAGTTGTGGTAAATTTCTTGTTTTTCCATTTTTTTTGTCTCAATTTATTCCTTCTAGGGTTTTGCCAGCTTTTCGGATTGCAATTTTTGAAATAGAAGAATTGTCGTTTAGGTTGTATTAGAACGGAGCGAAAAAAAGCTTGACAAATCCTTGCTTAAATGAGATCAAGACTGTTATATGGCCTAGATGAGGTGAAAATTTGACATTTCTATTATTCGATATCTTATTCCTTATTTCTTTCGTGAGAAAGGATGTTTTTTTGGTTTTCTTCGACTCTTTTTTTCCATTGTGAATGAAGTTTTCTTGGCACCAAAAGTGGTGGGTAAGTCTTCAGATTTTATATTTGAATATTTAGTAGCTTACTGAGCTGTTTGATGGTGCAGAACCATGCCGACTTTTACTGCTATAGCCTTAGATACCTTGTTGGAACCGGGAGCTTCAAAATCTGTCGATAAGTCTGTCCCTAGACCTGTCCCGAAACCGAGGCCTGGTCCTAATTCAAAGCTGGAGAGAAGGAATAGTACTTCGGTTGCTGAGAGAAAAACTAATCGCCCCCAAATAACTCCGGCTCTTTATGCTACTCCTGAGGCAACCCCACTTCCTGATTCGCCCACTTCGTTTCCTCCTTCTCCTTACATCATCAATCATAAGCGACGTGGGCCACGCCTTCTGAAGAGCTCGTCGGAGAGCAATGTGTTGGCACGCCAAAAAGTCCAAGATGAACAAAAGGTCAATGTGGATGGAAAGGATGCAGAAACCAAGGCTACTAATTTGATGGAGAATGATTCTGTTACTTCCACAAATGCTGAACTCCTGATTAAAGAGCAGCTGATGAATGGTTGTCATGATTGTGGGAGCAGCAATGGAGTACTTGAAAATGGTAGAGCTGAAACTGAAAGCAGAAATGGTAAACTTGGTACGGGTAATGAGGAACTTGGCAATGGTAAGGTGGAACATGGAAGCAGTAATTTTAGTAATGCTGTGGTCATTGTACATGATTCATCGAAGCTAGCTCCAACTCCAGAAAGAGAGAGTGAACGGGAAGATTTCTATGATCCTCAGGAATCAATGAGTGTCACAAGTAACACAGACGCAGAGGACAATGCTGAGGGAGAACGTTCGGCACAGTTTACCACACCCATGGGAGAATTTTTTGATGCTTGGGAAGGTACACATGTTAACTTGATCTATCTCAATTGGGGCACAATTAAAAGGTTTAGTTAGTACAATTAATAATTGGAGCAACTGGTTTTTAGTCTATCTCTCTCTCTCTCTCTCTCTCTTCTTCTTCTTCTTCTCCCTTTTTTTAAATTTTTTTTTTTTCCTTTTTGTTTTTTTCCCCTCTTGGTAGCTTAAAAATGTGGCAAGATGGCTATTAAATTGAAAGGAAAGTTTTATACGACTACAATCTGCCCAGTTATGTTATATGGTAGTGAATGTTGGGCCATTAAGAGACAACATATATTTAAGATGAGTGTGGCAGAAATGCGTATGTTAAGATAGATGAGTGGCCAGATGAGAATGGATCGCATAAGGAATGAAGTTATTCATAGTAAAGTAGGTGTAACACCAATAAAATATAAGGTACGCGAAGGCCGCTTGAGGTGGTACGTGCATGTCTAACGTAGACCGCTAAAAGCACTACTTCGTGCTTGAGAGGACATTCTTATACCTAATACTATGAGAGGGAGGAGTAGACTGAGAATTATGTGGACCGAAGTAGTTAGGAAAGACATTCTAGATCTAGGCCTTCAGAAAAGTCTAATTTTGAGCAGAGCTATGTGGAAAAGTGAAATCCATATAACCGACCCCAATTAAATTGGGATTAAGGCTTGTTGTTATTGTTGGTATCTTAAAAATTAGATATTTTTCGGTTGCATTACCTCCGCTTCTTCTTGTTTGTATTATAAAGGGGTCCATGTAATGAGAATTACGTATTAAAAACCCGAAAGTAGCGGTGGATTATAATACCATACAATATTATAATTCACAAGTCCGTTGCATCTCTGTATGAATTATCTGCCTTTTTTCTTCCCCTCACAAGTCCGTTGCATGTTATGTTATCACTATACAAGTACTTGGAAGTAGGAACTCAAATGATTGTTTCTAAGAAATTAAAATTTTCCTTTTTATGTTTCGCATCAACTCATTGTGATATTTACTTCGTGTTAGAACTTTCTTCTGAGGGTGGGCAACAGTCTGCTCTTCATGATGTTGAAGCTGAATTGCGTGAAATGAGATTGAGTCTGCTGATGGAAATAGAGAAGCGAAAGCAAGCAGAAGAAGCCCTAAGTAACATGCGAAAACAGTGGGAGAGCATCAGGCAACAGTTGTCTCTTGTAGGATTGACACTCCCTGCAGAGGTCCCTGCTGAAGGGAGAGAGCAGCCTGATTCCGATCCTGGAGAGAAGCTATGCAGACAAGTATATCTTGCTAGGTTCGTTGCAAATTCCATTGGGAGGGGCTTAGCTAGGGCAGAGTTGGAGGCAGAGATGGAATCACAGATTGAAGCAAAGAACTTTGAGATCACTCGATTGTGTGACAAACTACGCAATTATGAGGCAATGAATCAGGAAATGGTTCAGAGGAACCAAGATGTTCTTGGTGAGGCTTCTGCAATGAAACTTTTCTGTGTCTACATAAGTTCTTGTTAATCCATGTTAATGCTTCTTTTACAACTTTTTTTAGCCATCTCTGTTGGCTGTACCTATCACTTGCTCACCTAACATGCTTTTCCCTTTCATTGTAGAGATGGCACGGCGTGAGAGGGTTAGAAAGGAAAGAAGGCAGAGGTGGATTTGGGGCTCTATCGCTGCTGCCCTTACACTCGGTGCTGCTGGGCTAGCATGGTCTTATCTTCCTTCGGGAACGGGATCACCAAAGTGCGATTCCGAGGTTCCTCAGTCCAACGATGGTGCAAAGTAATAGTCTCTTTTAAGTGGTAGTTGTGATGCCATACCACAGATGAGAAGAGAATAAAAAGGTCTTATCCGCCATTTTGTTTTGGATAACATTCTCTTGCTGTTATAAGCTGCACTTTACCTTGCATTCTGAGGATGTACGGTTCTACCATAATCTTGGGCCATCATAGTTTATGAATAGGATTAGTCCTTATACCGAAGTTTTACTCATAATTTCTTTGACATTTTATGTCAAAGCCTACATCATTTTGCACACGAAAACTTTATACAGAAACAGGAGAGAATATGTGACCTTTAGTTTATGATAATTTTGGACTCGATCCGTGTCGGGAAAGATAAAAATTTTGAAACCTCTTGACATCCAAGTATAGTTACCTACAGCTACTGTTCTGGTTTTTACAGTGGCGACAAAGTCGTGTGTATTTGTTCTCTGTTGAAAGAGGAGCAAATGCACGAAATTAGTGCTTTTTTTGTTTAAGAAAAAATCCGCTATTCGGTCTTTCTTTCGAAAGAATTTTGCAACCGCATTCATAGTGAGAGCTTTTTATGCTCTCGTGCAGTGTGTAATTCTTCATCCCTGTTTTTAGCTGGAGCCTGGAGGTGGAATACAGGAGGAGTAGAGGTGCGCAACTTCGGCCCTCCTCCTAACCAGGCCTGACTAATCAACACGTGGCCCGACAAAAAGAGCTGTTCGGTCTGGTCCAAAGACGATGGGCTGAGGTCTTACGGCTATGGTCGGGTTACTTCGATTTGAGTAAGGGTTTGACCCATACCGTTTGGTCTAAATATATTTTATTGTGGCATACCGTTATGTATTACGCCTAAAAATCAGTAAGGTTATAGGCCTGTTTAGTTTTAAAATCATGATTCTGCTATAATATTTTTCATCTCACAAGGAATTTAAATTTTAAAATTTTTTTTCATAAAGTTCATGTTAATGAATCAGATTTATTGTGACTTGAACACTCGAACCAAATAGACCTTGTTCAACGGAACTAACTTTTGCTTTTAGTTTTTAAAAAAGAAGCAAAAGGGTGAAGCTTTTTAGTAAGCATTTAGTCACATTTTCAAAAAATACTAAATAGGTAGTTGTAGGTATAGTCTATTGGTAATTCCATGTTCAACTTCATCATAGGATTTAGAGTTCGAATCCGACCATCCTTAGTTGAAAATAATTTTAAAAAAGGCTTTAATAGATTTAAATTATTTTAAAACTTTATAATAGAATGAAGTTTGTAGTATAATATTGAAACTTTGATATAAGTTCTAAAATTTATCCAGAAGATCTTTTTTCAGAAATTACATTTTGTTGCTTTGATTGAAAACTCTTTTAATAGATCATCCAAACATTTGTAAACGTAGCTTTTACAACCATCGGTCCATCACTAGTCAATTGAAGTCTATCTTATAGAAATATAGAATACAGTTATATAGATCGAAATAATCATAGCCCATGTGTCAACCCGATTCAACAAAGCACACAGACCTTCTTCAGGGGATCCGACTGGCCATGACCCATTTTAAAAGTGGGTTTTGTTAGCAACACAAGAGACTTTAACAACAAAGGTGTGTGTGTCGTGTTTACTTGTCAAAAGAAGAAGTATATGTCGTTTCTAAACGTTAAAACCAAGTCAAACGACAAGCGAATGTCGTATTTTTCATCAAAATAAAAAAGAAAGAAACGCCACGTCGTGTTTTAGCTTAAATAACAACAAACGAGATACCAAACGACGCCGGATTAAGGATGTTATTTGAACCGTGGAATAGAAGAAACAAGAAAAACATCGGGGCAACAAAAAAAAAAAAGCAAATATCCATAACTCTGGAGCTTCCCTAATGGAGCTTGTTGTCCACAACTCTGCAACTCTTCCCAGAGACAATAAATTCTTCACAGTTTGCTCCTACTCCAAATTCCTCAGAATCCCAGATTACGGCAAGAATCTCTTTCCTCATTTCACTAGAAACTCAAGCCATCCACGAGAAACCCACTTCCATTTCGAAGCTAGAAACAAGACCCGGAACTTTGTGTCGTTAGACAAAAGAAACCAGCTTTGGGTTAGCGAACAAGAAGATGCCGAAGAACAAGTGAATTCTTATTCTGACGAGGAATCGGCTTTCTTGTCTCTGAGTGAGAAGCCCAACCGGAACTTGGCCTTGCTTGACGACTATGAAATGGAAGAGCTTGACTGTAACGACCCCAACCATCGAAGCGGTTAGTTTCTTTTCTTTTTCCACATCAAAGTAGAATGCGGGTTTTTTCCACCCCTCTGGGGTGAGTAGTTTATGATGCTTTGAAAGTCGGAATTTTTATTATTTATTTGGATAATGTGAGTGGTCTTGAGGAAGGTGCTTTGAATTGCAAAATTTGGGGTTTTACTTTTTTGGCTTATGATTTTTTACATATTAGTTTTAGAAATTCGAGATTAATAATAATTTGGGTCTCTGTTACATTAGCTGTTAACATAATATTGTCAGTAGTAAGGCCAAAAACTTTGTGCATGTGTGTGTTTTTTTCCTTGTCTTTTGGTAATAAGCTTATACCATTCAGTGAAGCAATAAACAAACAATGTATTATCACCCTTTATTAACTCTTAGCATTCATTCTTGGTTTTGAATTTGAAAGCTTTATTTACACAAAATCACAAAAGGTTTGAGATTTTTTAGTGTTTTTGTTGTTTGGACTTTTTCCAGTTAGTTTGTGATCATTCATTCTTGGTTTTGAATTTGAAAGCTTTATTTACACAAAATCACAAAAGGTTAGAGATTTTTTAGTGTTTTTGTTGTTTGGACTTTTTCCAGTTAGTTTGTGATTGTTGAATATCAAGATGTCTCAAATGCAGGATATGTGGCTGTACTAGGAAAGCCAAATGTTGGAAAGAGTACACTTGCAAACCAAATGATTGGTCAAAAGTTGTCAATAGTTAGTGATAAACCTCAAACCACAAGGCACCGAGTTCTTGGTATCTGTTCTGGACCAGAATATCAGGTTTGGCTTTTGTGGATCGCTTTTATTGTTCTCTAGTTTCCTACTGTGTCATATTTGTTGTCCTCTAAATTGAACAATTTTTTATGACTTGAACCGTAGATCAAACTAGTTTTGAACAAAGTATTCATTTTAAAACCTTAACTTGTATAAAAGTTTTTACGGCTGTTTCTCTATGGCCTCTGATTCTTGACTGTTAGCGAGATGTGTATAAGCTTTGTAAAAGACAACTGTCGAGATTTGGATACCATAGTTGTAGTATTTATGCTTCTTTTGCTACAACTATACTCTCTCTTCTTTTTTTTTTGTTGGTAATCAGCTGCAACTATACCATTACTTGAAGTGATACGGGGGAATACATCAAATGTGGCATATTGGCTTGACTAATGATCTGTGGATACGATATATGGATCAATTGAAAAGAAATATAAAGTGGGAAGATGCTGTTACGTTGTGAAACGTTTGACTTTTCCTAGGTTAACTATATTGGAAAAATGATAGTTTGTTTGTGTAGTCAATCTCATTTATAACTTATAATACTTCTGTTATGCTTCTTGACTTTTATGGGGTTTGCCTCTTTTTGACATATGATTTGTTTCAGATGATACTTTATGATACGCCCGGTGTTATCGAGAAGAAAATGCACAAGTTGGACTCAATGATGATGAAGAATGTCAGAAATGCTGCGGTTAATGCAGACTGTGTGCTTGTTCTTGTTGATGCATGTAAAATGCCTCAGAAAGTATGTTTCATATTTGACGGATTTGATCTGAAAAATTGCCTTCTTGTTCTAATTTATTATTATTGTTACTACTTTTCTGTAGATTGATGAAGTATTGGAGGAAGGTCTTGGTAGCTTGACAAATAGGCCACCCACTTTGCTGGTTTTGAATAAAAAGGATTTGATTAAACCTGGTGAAATTGCAAAGAAATTGGAGGTCAGGCTAGCAGATTGATCTTTGTCTTGAAGTTTTGTTTGGATTTCAAATTCTGAATTTTTGTATCACTAAACATTACTATAATTACCTTCCAGTGGTATGAAAAATTCACAGACGTTGATGAGGTCATACCTGTGAGTGCCAAATATGGTCATGGGGTGGAAGATATCAAGGATTGGATTCTGTCAAAACTTCCTGTTGGGCCAGCTTATTATCCAAAGGTACTTAGAACATTGAGCATTGAAGTCCTTTATCTTTATATTTTCATTCGCGTAATATCATCGGATAAGCTAGAAGGCTAGGGAAGTCTTAGAATCAAAATCGATGAAGGAAAAACGGGAAAACACAAAAACCAACTTAAGTCCTGTTTTATCATTCTCAGGACATTGTCAGTGAGCATCCTGAAAGATTCTTTGTCGCCGAAATTGTAAGAGAGAAGATATTTATGCAATACCGAAATGAAGTTCCTTATGCATGTCAGGTATCATATGCAGTTGTAGTCTCAACAAGACATAGTCGCTTCTTATTTCTTTTTTAAGTTATGCTTATTGTATTTCTTTTCGTTTTATAATTCTGTAGGTGAATGTGGTGAGCTACAAAGCTAGGCCAACTGCAAAAGATTTTATACAAGTTGAAGTTGTTGTTGAAAAGAACTCGCAGAAGATCATCCTTATAGGAAAGGTAAATACTTCAAATTTTAGAGTTTCTTGACACATCCTTCTATTCTGTATGATAATTAGCTCTTGGTAGATTTTCTGTTCTGGTTATGGGCTTCAGAGAAGTTGTGATTTTTTGCCAGAATAACGTTAAGGAGAATGAAGTTTTGACTTACAAAAAAAAAAAAAAAAAAACAAACAAATTTGTTCAATAATGTTAAACCATTAAACCTGGTTCTTTAACATTTCAAATTTCGCTTCATTATGGAATGAATTAGATGTACGAATGTTCAGAACCATACACAGCCACGATGTATAATTTTTTCTTTTTGACGACCTAAACCTCTATAGGAGGGGACGGCTCTAAAATTACTTGCGACAGCTGCACGGCTCGACATCGAGGATTTCTTACAAAAGAAGGTTTTTCTTGAGGTATAAACTCACTCCATGGCACTCATGGACTCGGTTGAACAATCTCATAGCAATTTCTATATCAATACTTGTGTTCCCGCTTGTTTCTGGTTTGAAGAATATCACCTTATAGAAAAACACGCTTCAACAGGTTGAAGTGAAAGTGAAAGAAAATTGGCGGCAAGATGAGGGACTCTTGAATTACTATGGTTATGGAGGGCAAATTCGTGCATTATAACAGAAAGAAGTTAGCAACAGCTTATTAAGTGAACCTGGTCCTGTATTAACGCCCCTGTAACATTCTCATGTAGAATTAATTGTTTTTGTTTTTGTTTATTTGTTTATTTTATTTTTTCCTCTTTTTGGCTAGAAACTGTATTAGTAATATGTATTTATTTGCCATCCCAATTTTTCCTTTGGCTGAAATGGTTTTGTAATTAGTATAGACATGAGTAATCTTTATCTCTATCACATAAAAGAGTCATCGAGTATAGTTTTATCTCGAGTAATTTTAGGATTTCAAAGTATCTTATCTAATATCGGAAAATATGTGTAGTGAGTAAATTATTATGGTCCCTTTTTGTATTATTTATTTAAACAGTTTTTTGTTTCTTAAATAAAAAAGTGAATATTTTTTAAACACGGAGTATATTTTTCGTATTTCTTTTTTCTTTTTAAGAAATTGTGGAAATAAAAACTTCTTGTTTTCAAAAAAAAAAATTTTTTTTCAACAAAAAATTTAGGTTGTGGATAACTAAGTGGATGTTTGGTTGATGTATTTAGAATCATAATTTAAAATTATTCTCGATTTATGTGTATTTTTTGTGAGAGAAAATACTATAACGAATCATGAATCATGATTCGAATTTAGCAACCAAACAAGCACTAAAGTTGTGGTTGCATCAGGATGGGATTGAAATTTGGACCAAGTCAAGTACGTCATTGAACCAGGGTTGGACTGACGGACTAGGGTCAAGGATGGTGATTGGTCGAGACTGCCACAAAAATGTTGGGATAGGTGCCAGGGTTGATCCATGAGCTAGAAGCGTCGTTGGAGTCAAGCCAACTGGCCAGGGCAACGTTGGGATTGGAACGGTGATTTTCAGCTATTAAATGGACGTTTGATTTACAGATTTAAAACTCAGGATTGGAATGGTGATTTTCAGCCATAAAATATCCTAAATGACTTTGAAAAAAATAACGAAAGCTCTCTAGTTTCTTTCTTGATGACGTGCAGGGTTAGCTGTGACTTGCAAAAGTGGTATAACAAACTCTAAACAGAATTGTCAAACGTGTTATGCTAGCCCGTTACTTATTCGGCAACGGTATAACGTGTTAATCCATTAGACTGTGCTAAGTACATTTCATACGTTGAGCATCTAGGGACAAGCATGACTCGACACAATGCACTATACTACCACGAATAAAGCTTTAGCCGCATGACTTTTACCCGCCCACAAAATGTGGGTGAAAATGTTTTTTAACAGTACAAACTTTTTTATGTTGTAAAAGAGTTAGCAACTTCAACACAAGATATATTAACAAGTTACATTACATGTTTCATATAAAAAAAATTACTTAATTATACACTTTATGCATGACTAAAGGGTAAAGATATATTTCTTAAAAAAAAAGGGGGGTAAAGATATATTTTAAAGATGCGTTTAGTTAAATAGTTTCTCTCTCACTCTCTCTCTTATTTTTCAACTTTGAACTCTCTCCCTCTCCCTTTTCTCTTCAATACTGAGGACTTTGTAGTGGATCAGAACGGCTAATCGACTTTCGGACAGAGAATCGCTGGAGTTCTAGGTTGGATCGCTGGAGGTCTTGGTCAGATTATAGATTGACTTCCGGATGAGGAAGTCGTTGGAGTTCTCCATTAGACTCTTGACAAAAATTCTAAAAAACGACATCATTGGTGTATTCCTATATAAAGACAAAATAGTTTAGATCACTATAGTGATCACTCATACTATATAGTGATATGGAAGGGAAAAAAACAGAGATCGTTTTCCATTTAGAGGAAGGAAAAAAAAATGAAAAAAAATTAAAGACTGGGCTGTTTTTTTACGACGAAACTAAACAAAAATTAGACTTTTTTGTTTTAATTCTCATTGTAATAATTTTTTTTTATGCCTTCACAATGAAAAGACGAATAAAATTTTACTCATATATCTTATTAAAATTTTTTATTAAAATACTATATAAATATAAATTTAATTTTTAACTCATCCAAATATAAATTTAAATAGATTTTTAATTCAAATCATAATTTAAATATGCATATTTAAACACAAACTCAAATTACAACTTTAATTTAAATTATAACTCAAACTCAATTTAAAAATATAAATTTAATTTTTGACTCATCTAAATATAAATTTAAATAAAATTTTAATTTAAATCATAATTTAAATATATAAACACAAACTTAAATTATAATTTTAATTTAAATTATAATTCAAACTTAACTTAAAATTATGATTTAAGTTACTATAACTTAAAAATGTAAAAGAAAAATCTTTTTATACATTTTTTTTCCTTTTTGGCTTCGCTAGGGACGTAATTTTCAACCAATCACCGTTTCCTGCATAATCAAGTACATCTCTGTCGATTTGTATTTTTTCGATGGAAATTGCAACGTTGAGAAGCTTCAGGACGACACCAACTTGTCTTCCATCACAATCTTCTCTAAAATTGGTAATCTCTACTTTGTAAGGGCTATTTAGTTTATTAATTTATATTTTTAATTTAAATTAAAATATAATTTTATGTGAAATTTTTTATTATAATAAAAAATTTAAATATAATTATTTTTTAAAATTTTTTTATTATAACAAATTTTAAATTTTAAATTTAAATCGATAAAATAAATAAGATCTAAGATTTTAATGCAGATAACTTTCTGTGGATGTATTCTCTTCTTTTGGCATCGTTTATTTCACCGATTTGAGTTTTCAGTTTTAAGTTTTTACAGTAAAAAGCTTTCAGAAAATGTCACATCTAACTTTTTCTGCTAAAGTGAAAAGCTTTCAAAAAATATCACATCTTAACTCTTCTGTTGCAGGTCGACGGGAAAACTACATACAAAAGAACAATGACGTATATATATATCATTTGATCTTTAGTTTTTCACAGAGAGAATAATTAATTATATATATTTTTGTTAAGAAAATGTGATTTCTTTTATGCATGACCAAAAAAAAAAAAACTTTTTCCACGTACTTGAGTTTTGTTCGGTTAGAAAAGTATAGATATAGGTTCCGTTCATTTCACCAATTCGAGTTTAGAATTTGAATTTTATTACAGTAAAAAACTCTCATATAAAATCACATCTTAACTTAAATTAAAAACTTAAATTGGTGAACTAAACGAGTCCATAATCTCAGGTTTTAGTATTTTTATAGCACAAAGTATATATGTATTTTGATAAAACAGAAAGGAAGTTTCTTCCTATTATCCCTTAAGCTTATCAAAATTACTAAAAAAGATTAGTTTAGGATGAAAAAAGGAGATATCAGATATGTACATAGAGTAGAGCATATCAAAATTACTAAAAAAATTAATTCATGAAAGATCTCCTGTTAATCATTAAACACACTCGGACATAAAAAGTGCGTAATGTCATTGGTAAATATCGAAGGACGGATGGGTGTGTGTGTATTATATATATGTGTGTGTATATAGCTAATATACTCACATGCAACTCAAGTTTAAACAATAGCGGAGATACCTTGAGAAATGTGGATGTGAGTTCCCAGGGGCATTTAGGTTGTATTTGTCACATTGATAGCTACCAGCTGATCTACCTGAAATAATTAAGAAAAACTGATCAAAACATAAACAGACATATTAAACGTAAACATATTATAGATGGTTTGATATACAGCAACGGAACTGTTCGACACTTAGACCAGTCAATAAACATTTATTTATTTATTATTATTTTTTTACATGTCCGCATAATGTCGTTTGTGTACGTGTGTAACGCTCAGTTTACTCTAGTGTAACATCCAAAAAATATTTAGTCCAAGACATGACAAATTAAGTGTTACACATAGATACACACGAAAAAAATGATGTAAAATAAAAACACGAAAGGGTTACATTTACAGGACTGTATAGGTGCAGGGCTTAAAAGAGTCTCCTATAAATAAATAAGCACACACATACTTTACTGTCGATTGGAAGGAATGCATGAGGACAAATGCGTGCGTGCATAATACAATGTTTACCTTATAAAAGGGTAAGTCCAAGTACAAGGTCTCAAGTTGAGGAAAATCAGTAGAAAGGATGTCGCGTAGGGGGTGGAGTTGCAAGAGCTGCTTCATTAATGTCAAAGAAAATCCTTTTAAGAGGTGCACCGTCGTTGCACAGAAACTTACCTAATCGGAGTTGACTTCACTCAAACGAAATGACATTTGTTGCACTACGAATATCAACCTCCTCTATAATATCATTATAACAATGAGATATACCCAAGTGCTTCAATGGGCAATATGAGTAGAATCCACTACTCCCAAACTTCAAGCGCTCAGGACATGAAAACGATCGCATGCTTGACCACTCAAGAGATACGCAAGCGGTTGAAATGTTGAGCATATCTTCTTCAGTCAGATCAACTTTCGTAAGATTCAATGATTTAAGGCTGCGAAAACCGTCAAAATTTGGTGGGAGATTTAACCTACAGTAATCCAAGCACAAGTGCTTCAAAGTTGAATGTTTAGCATACCATCCCTCACTAAATAGTTGATGAGGAAATGAATAGGCGTCTTCACTCCGAAGATGATAACAGGAATATAATGTTATGTTAAGATTTTCAACTCTCTTAGATATGGCAAACTGAATCCACGACGGTGTTGTATGTGCAATGCCGGACGTATCAGTCGGAAGGACTCTAGCTTGGTACCCTTGTAATGTGGTAAAGTTTGATTGACCCATCTCACAAAGGCATCATCATCGTCTTCGTCGATTTTTTTATAAATCTTGGTATTGAAGTCGTGGACGTTTAATGATGTTTTCCACAGGTTCCTCCATCTGCTTCACAAAATGCTGGTTCTAACTGCCTCTCTCAAACTCAAACGTGACATCATAACAGAAATACGCTCATATGCAATTTGCTCGTGATTAGGTCGTCCGCCAGGATATTTTTGTTGTCATTCTACATACACATAGTAATAATAATTGTAATGATGATGATAATATATTTCTTGTCAGCGAGAGTTTGAACTAGCAATTAATTAAGACAAAAAGAAAAATGTTATAATATATGAATCAATGTTATTTATTATTATCAAATTTCTTGTGAGAAAAAAATACTACAGTAAAATTAAAATCATAGTTTTAAACGCGCGGAATAAACGGACTGTAGTGTGTTGCATAGAATACTTGTAATTGAAATATAAATAGCTGTTTAGATATGTTAGAAGCTCAGAATATCACTTACCCTCTCAATAACAGCA